AGGCGAGGGTCGTACGTCTGTGGTCGTCTTCGGGGGTGATGCGCTTTGCAGAGTCGGAGGAGGATCGCCTCTTCTTTGGGGCGGAGGGGTCGTCGGACATGGTGGTGGGAGGGGGGTTGGTGGTGGGAAAGCGGAGGGATGAGCGGGAGGGAGGCAAGCAAGGCGGGGGGCGGGGGCGGGGAGCGGTGATGAACGACGGGGGTATTTATGCTTGGCATGTTATACGAGGAGGAATTGCTGGAGATAACCAGGAACGGGGTGATCAATGAGAGAGGACCGGGAGGCGCGCACACATTGAGTGGGCAGCGTGAGAGCGGGCGCCAGTGTCGACAATCACGGCGCCATGCCATCGGAATCGAACTTGATGTAGCGGAGACGTCCTCTTCTCCGAGTATGCACGGCGCCAAGGCCACGGCGCCAAGCCCAGTCGAGACTCCCGCGCCCCCGGCCACCCTCAGTCACGCCCCCCAACCTAATCAGTCAAATCCTGCCCTCGCCTTGGCAGGTCTCCCTCCGCGGTCCGCCTCGACGCCTTCGTCCGAGTCATCCGCCCGAGTATGGTTACGCCCACTCCTCTTTCGCCCATTGCCGCGGTCACCTCTCCCCGTGCCCGTCGACGACATCTCCATCCTGCTAGTGCCACGGCCCGATAGGCCAATCCCCCCCCCTCCCTCTTCTCGTCCATCCACCGATCGGCGAAACAGTGGCAAAACAAGACGCGGGTCGCTTCACTCTAGATCGTCTGCAGCGTCTTGCTCGCCCAGTCTAGAACAGCCCCGCAGCGCCGGACCCTGACCGCGCAGCCATGAGGTTATCCAGCTGGCCTCAGCGCGCGAGTCACATCGTGGCGCTGCCCCGAACCGAACCGGAGGCGGGGGCGCTGATGCGTGCACACGACTCGGCCCTCTGGCAGATTCCCCCGCCCGCTTTTTTCCAGCCACCATACCGACGATTCGCTTCGTCCGCCAATCAGCGCTGCCCCCCCGCCCCACCCCGATGTGCCAAGGGCATCTCGCCAAACCCGCTCTCCGCCCAACGTCCGGCCTCTTCGTTGATACTCCTCCTCCTCTTGCTGATCAGCGTCTAGATACTCCTCCCGGTCCACCCCCCCTGCCTGCGTGCGCAGTGTCCGCCCGAGCCCTTTGTGCGCCTCCACGGGCGACCTTTTGCCAGCGTCCTCGTCCTCGCATCGATGCGGCGTGAGCCATCTTCCTCTGATGAATGATGACAAAATTCCTTTCGGGATAACAGCATCACCCGCGGTGTGCTCTCTGCCATCCCCGACCATTCCGTCAGACGTGACAGCCTCCGAGGGTGCTTAATTTCCCCCCCCTCCTCCCCCCGCGCCCGCACCCGCGCTGCCGTCGCAGTTAACCTATGAGCGTGCCAGTCTGCAGCCGCGCTTTGTCTGAATGTGCGTGGAGAGCACGTAATACGGTGCGCAGGCGGGCATTCGGGGTCTTGGCACGCCTCTCCTGCCCGTCTTCTCGGCCAAGTGCGAATTAAACGAAGCCGTCGGGGTGCAACCACGTCCCCCAATGACGAGAGCGAACCACACAGGTCCAGTCCGCGATCTCCAATCACGAGTCTGCGCGGCACCGGTCCCCTGCGTCCTTCTCCGCCGCCTTGTCTGCAAACATGATCATGTCCTGCTCGGCACACCTCCCTCGTCGCGACCCCAGCCATCGCGCACGGCTCGCTGCCAATACGATCGATCCCGAGTTCGCCCAAGTCCGCGCAAAGGGCTGGTGCGAACGCGCTTGCCAAGAAAGGAGCGGCCATCGTCTATCCTGGCGTTTTCCGCAATTCAGTTCATTAGCACACTCACACCCTCATGACGAGCTCCGCCGTGACCATCATGTGTGTCTCTGTGACGCTGCATCTCTCTGGAAAACCCGTTCGTAGGCCTGGAGACTGCCCTCCACGCGGCGCTTTGACAAAGCCGGTAAGCGATGCCTGATGGACCATCGAGGAGTTTCAATCGCTGGATTGTATTGTGTTGTAACCCTGCACAGAAGCCACGGAAAAGAGTGCCACAAATGGGCCCTTGTCTTGCAGCTAATGGCCCATTTCGTGTCCCAGCTTGGAAGGCCTGGTCGGTGCATGTCGGGCGCCGGCTGCCTGCCAATGCATGCCGCACGCACGCAGATTTACCGTCGCTGACGGCAGAGGGACGTCAACGCCCGAAGCGATAAGACAGGAGATCAGAGCGGTCTACGGGACGCAATGTCAGTCGGATAGATGAATGGGAACGCTCGCAGCAATGAAAGAATGAGAATGAATAATGGCTTATCTGATGCAAGGATTTCGGAATTGCTGTAATGTTGGTCAACGGCCAATGGCGTCAGACGGGGCGGGCGCCAGGGAGTGAATGGGCCAGTGAGGAGAAGCGTATTAGCGTGATAGGATCTTTTATGGTATAAATAGCCATTGTCGCTGAGTAGCCAGACCAGGGCTGGCACGGCGAATCTCCCATGATGCGATCCACTGTTGTGTGCCAGGGTGCGGAAATCTGAAGCGATCGGGGAGTAGGCCCTTTGGCGAGACGACACTTGCCGCGGGGATTGGTATCTTGGAATGCAGATTGGCCATCGGCAGGGATAATGACGAACGGCGGAGAGCACGAGGCCCCAGTTGGGTCCTTCGCTCGCCACGCTGCAGGCAGGCAGCAGGAGCTTCAAACCACCGGATCTAACATGTTTGTGTAGTGTCCGGGCGTGTTATCAGCCCGCACCCGCGCAGAGAAGACGACGAGACGCTGGATGGAATATTGGATGCGAACTGGGTGCGAGCGGGGCGTATGGACACGGGCGCACGGCATGGGTCACGACTGGGAGGACGAGGACGAGGGAGGACAGGAGTACGCCGCCACCCGCCCCGCTATATTTGGCGGGCGCTGCCTCAAAATACAGAGGCTTGGCAGCGCGTCATCACGATGATCACACCCGACATTGTCCCCCCTCAGCCGCCTCCTCCGCCTCCTCCTCCTCCTCCTCGTCCGCCACCAGTGGCTGCGGTGTCACAGCGCCCCGCACGGCATCCTACCAAGTCCCAGGTGCGCCACCAAGAATCCACCCCGTATCTCCCACTCTCCATCTGCCCCCCCCCGTCTGATGTCTCGAATGTACGTCAACGTCTTTTCCCTCCCCGGCTGCAACAATCTGCCTGCCAGTCTCACAGTAATGCATCCCTGCTTCGCCTGCATTCGAATGCTCACTACAGGCATTGTTCGTTGATAACCGACCTGTCAGCCTTTCCTCCATCCAGCAGCATCATCCCATGCTCAGGGCCCCCCAAGCGCTACACACCCAAACTCCTATTAGTGAGTCCAACGTCTTCCATACCGCTCCTCGCTGACACCTGCGAGCGTGCTCCCGCGCCCTCTCGTTCGCGTCAGCATCATTCCATGCGCACCGCGCCCACGAATGCGCTCGACAAATCCAATCCATCTGCGACACCGACCGTACGGAGCCTTCGTCGCCCACACCGCTGACAGCTGCGCTCGCTTGCAGAGCACGCCATCGGGCATCTCAGCGACGGCTCCCAGCGATCCACACCGCACTGCTTCGCACCCGCGACCAGCCTGTCCGCCAACGTCCATGCGATGGGGCACGTCCCCCAGCCCAACCCAGTTTCTGATGCGGCACACCCTTCCTGCTGTTATCTGCCCCGGGCGGCTCGTCTCGCCGTCCCCGCGCCGTCCTTTCGGCGGGCACTCGGCCGATACGAACCGCTAACTGTCGACGACGGACCCCAGCCGCACGCCCAGCGCGCACGACCCCGCTCCGTCTGCAAATCGCGGGCGGCGAGCGGGTGCGGCCCACGGCAACTAGACGAGGAATTAACCGTGGGCCGTCGAGTTGCCCACCGTTAATTGACCTGATGCGCCAAGTCGCAATGCCAAGCACGGACGAAGATCCGTGCGTCTTGGCATGACGAGCCTTTGCGTATATCATCCAGCGCACATCCCCACCCCCCACCCCCCCCTGCGCGCGCTGCATCCCCCTGCTTCTCGCTGTCCTTCCCTCGAGCACTCACGCACGTCAGCCGCATTCCCGTCCAGCCAGTCTCATGTTGGACGCTTGCGTTTATATATTTACACAATCACTATATATTTGACGCGCAGGAACCAGACGATAACAAGCCCATGTCGACCCGACAACCGGGGTTGGGATAATCACGACCGCACGTACGGTACACCGGCCGCAAGCGCAGAAACAATACCCCCCAGCATGGTGAGCCACCAGGCCCTGTAGAGCGCCTTCCACCCCTCTTCGTCGACAATCCGCTTTGCACAGTCGACCAGGCCTAGGTAGGGATCTTTCTCATGACGTAGCCTAGAATTGAATGTTTCATCATTCGTAAGTCTTCCGTCCTTGTGGCAATATCAGAATTGAGAACACGAACCCGATGACATCTTCCTCAGCGCCCGAATATTCCGTGTACTCCTCTCCATCAATCATGTCGTCCTCCGCTTCCTGTTCCACCGAGTTGTATTCTGGCGCTGCGTGGTTACGTTGGATGGCCAGCTTGGTCGTGATCACCTCCAGTGGGCAGATGACAACGACGCTGACAACTTCAACGCCTATATAGATCCCGAATTTGACTGACGCCATAAAGTCATCGGGTCCTGGGCGTGGCACAAGGAAAGACCGAAGCGCGGTCAGCAGGAATGCGGTATATACGATCTGGATGCACTGCGCCGCTAGGAGCCCTGGGGTCGAATACAACATCCAGGGCTTCTTGCGCTCCGTTGGCGTCAACAAGATGCGCAGAGAGTAGAGGGGTCGGAAGTAGGGGAGCTTGTACGGTGTTGTAATCGCACTGAGGAACCGTTCATTCAGTACATACTTCTTCAGTACATCACATTGATCGCGCTCACCGGTACGTGAGAATGGCAAATGGCAGGAAGAGCAGCATGGACACCAGGCCAAACGCGAGCGTGCCGAACGGTCCTGCCACGGCAGGAGGAATCGCCCTTCCCGGGGTGCTGGCCATGCTTGCACCAAGGACGGCAACGGTGAAGAGCGTCAGCACGAGGCTGAATAAGATCGTGGGCACTACAAACGCTTCCGTAAATAACCAGTTACCGAGTGGGAATGGAGATGCACGCACTGGTCCCTTTGTATAACCCAGCCCAGCCCTATCGCGGTATGTGAGCCTACCGGGACGCCACATTAGACGGTACATGGTGTAGGGCTTACCTCAATACGCCGCACCCGTCTGAGCATGCCGAAGAACGAGGTCACGACAGGCCCAGTGTGCGGTTCGATGTTTCCCTCAGCGTCAAGGCGGAGGCCACGAGGGTTGTAGTTCGCTGCGTGCGTGCGTGCATACCACACATCAGCATCGCTTTCCACGGAACATGGAACTTGCTTGAGGGCACATACCGCGCAGGCGGACAAGGGTCCCCGTCAGCGGGATCGTCATGAGCAGAGAGGCGACGAGCGTCAGCGCGATGATGACGCCGTCCTTGATGAGCTCGAATGCGGTCGGCTCGACTGCGCTCATATTCGCTCAATGTGTGTGTCGACGAGGTGGAGGTCAGTGGTGAAGAAGGGGTGTCTGCGCCGATTGCGCAACGCGCGCAGCCACAGACGCCGCTGGGCGGCAGCGTGCGGCAGTGCACCTCGCCGCGCGTTGCGTTGCGGCATCCGGCCAGGCGCCAGTCAGCCCTTTCCCAAACCACCACCTTCTCCCCTCCTGCTTATCGCGCCTCTCGCCTCCTCCCTCCGCCCCAGCTGCCCCGCTCAGTGCTGGCCTCGCGGCCAGCGTGGTCTGCGACGTGATGGGTGCGTCCGGGGGCTGTCGTGGCGGTGGTTGTCGTCCATGTGGCATTCTCGGAGAAGTTCTGCTCTTGCAGTTCTAGTCTTTGCGCCTCCTGTGAAGCCAGTCCTATTATCAGCCCAAGATGGGGCCGATAACCGACGCGATTATCGCGCTTTGACGATTCGCCTGATGTTCTTGGTTGAATCCTTTTGCAATTTGTAGCGAGCGGCTTTCCGCATGTCCGACTCTCGTTTCTTGCGAAAGATCTCCATGTGCATGAATTTCAGCTCGTGGCGAGTGCCCCATCTTGATATGTTTTTTTTTGCTATTGTAAGCGCATATTTGTGCCCCTTTCGAAGCGGGTGAGTGAACACTGCAGATGCTCCTGTGTTTTTCTGTGTAGTGACGGGTATTTTCAGCCTATGGGCCGTTTTGCAGTCTCAGGGGAGCTTCGCAGGCACCTCTCCGGCTCAAGCCGATGTTCCGTGTCTCATCTCATGTGAATGGCGCTCAAGTGGCCCTGTCTTATTTTTCAACTTCTTGACTGTCGAGTTTGCTCTCTTGCGTTAGAGTGGACGTTGTTTTACTGGATTTTGCTGGTCGAGCGATAGCCTCATGCACAGCTCTGCCGGGGGTGCTATTGGTGCTCTATCATCCCGCAAGTGTGCGTGAAGACATTTATGTAGTTCTCATAATGGAGCTGCGCAAGGAACAGTCGATGGCAGGAAGTCTTGAATTCAGGTAAAGTGCCATCTTGTCCTAAAACATTTCCCTTCTGGACTCATAATTTGTAGTGCCATGAAGGTCCTGATCTTTGAGCTCGTGGCTCCAGCACTATTATCGGCGGCTGATATCTTGATGAGGATGTGCGCGATCGATGTATGTTTGCTTGGGCTTGCATTAGATGTGGAAGTGCTGCTGGATATTCTGCCTTCAGCCTACGTCAGCCTACCCCAATCACCGTCACTACGAGTCACACGCACTCACTTCCTCAATGCATCAGGGATATATGCCTATGAAGGAGGACATACATGTTGTTGACTATTAGTGCTGCAGGGTAAAATGTTTGCGTGGTGCGTCAGAGGTTCCTATCGCAAGATTTTGTGACCGCTCTTATGGTGTTTGTTCAGGCTCAACCTCTCTGCTGTTGCCTGCCGCACTTGCGCAGGCCGCAATCCTTGTCGGGAATTTTGTTACGCTTTACACTGGACATCTTCGCGACTCGTTCCATGCTTTTGGACAAACCTCGACTCCATTACGCGTCCCCGCCCATGTTGGTGGAACGCGTGTTTGTGTGAGACAGCGTTGGTCGGACATACTTGGGTAGCTGCTCTCTTAGATGATGTTCCGTGTACGTTAATGTTGCCTTCTCAATGCCATATATTTTCTTTCACTACTACTTGCGTGTCGTTGGAGAGGTTGAACACCAACGCCAACATCGGTGCACTTCTCGCCAACGTTCTCCAACTGGCAATATTCATTCCACATGTACCTACGTTCGCTCTCATGCTATCTAGACGTACTCCTAGATATATTCTGTAGCAGCCTGTCTTCCAATCAGGCTTGTCTGACGGCTGCAGCCACAACTGTTTGACTCTCCGACTGTGGGCCACATAATTAGAGTTCGACTGGCTTGTCGTCGTCTCACCACCCCAGGACGCCCTCCTCCGCGATCCGGCCTCCGCCAATCACTATATCTCCCTTCCGACAATGTCTTCAGGACTAGATCCTGTTATGAATAGAGTCAGTATTCTTGTTTGTCCTTGGAATTGTGTAGTTCCTTACTGCGGACACCGCATCCCATGTTGTTGTCTCAGAAAGCGGCATTAGACCAGCTCAGGTTCAAGAAAGTTCAGAGAGAACAGCATGCTTCCACACACCAGACCACACCTCCAGTACCCCCGCCCTGGCATGCTGCCCAGACCGCTCTGAACGTTCCGCCCACGCAGTCGCGCGATGCCACCGTCCCATCGCGCTACTTCCCTCCCACACCGATGTCTCCGGGCACCGTGCTGGTACCCAGCTCAAGTCCGCCTCGCCCGGATCAGACCCATCGACCACATCCACCCGCCTGGCAGCACGATGCCCTCGCAGACGGCATTCCTGGACTTATTCATTCCGAGCCCCGCAGGCTGTCCTTCGCGCCGACCCATCTCGATCCCTTGTCCGCACCCAGCGGCTTCACGCCCGCGAATCGCGCGCCGCACGCGTCGTTCACGCGTCCGCCAGCGCAGAACGGGAGGAGGATGTCGGAGGTCGACGAGTCCGAGGACGGGGAGCCGCCTCGCAAGCGTGTCAACCGGGGGGCGTCGCACGACCCGATCGACTTCCTGGGCATGCCCGACTCGCCGCAGGTGCAGCGTCCGGGCCAGCGGCGCAAGGCCAACGGGAGCGCGTCTCTGTCGTCCGCGTCTTCCGACGACTCGCTCCCCGACATCAAGGACGTCGTCGCCGGCCCTTCCAAGCCGCGCATCGTCCGCCGCTCGCGCTCGCCCGACCTGCCACCATCGTCCTCCGAGCGGTCCCAGTCAGAGGCTGAGGATCCCAAGTTTACGCGCTTCAAGATGACGCAGCCGCAACATCCTATTAGCGTTATACGGGCTGCTTGGCAGCAGGCAGGGGGCGACGTCCCGAGGGCGTCGGAGCTGCTCAACGATCCCAGCTGGCGGCCTCCAATGCCTGCGTCGCCGGCCACCATCGCAAAGTCAGCCATGGAGGTCGGTAGGGTGAAGGAGCTTGATGATGCAAAGCAGGCGCAACGGGCAGCGATTCGGGAAAAGGGGAAGAAATCCATGATCTACAAGACGGTGCCCAACCTCGAGAACAAGCCGCCATCAAAGCCTTCTCCATCCACCCCCTCTCGAGCTCCCGTGGATCTTCCTTCTTCCCCTCGGACTCCTGGCAGCCCCCTTGTGGCGCAGCCACGCGTGAAGCGATTGAAACGGAAGGTTGTGGACTCCGACTCTGAGGCAGAACCTGCTGATGAAGGCTCTTCGGCTCCTGCAAAACGCCCCCACAACGTGTCTACGAATGAAACTCGTGCGTTGGATTACTTCAATGCCGCCGCTCCTGAGGCACTCCAGGAGTTGACAGGTGGGTTGGAGCAGTCGTTTGCGGTGGGACACGCTCACATGGAAGCTCGGTAGGGTGTGCTGTGGAGCAAGCTAACAAGATCATCGCCCTTCGTCCTTTTGTATCGGTGGATGAATTGAGAGTTAAGCTCGGACAGGGTAAGAAGAAGGTCGGACCTTCGGGCATCAGTCCTAGAATGTTTGAGGACTGCGCTGCTATTTTTGAGGGATATGGAACCGTTGATAGCATCCTCGAGGACTGCGAAGAGATCGGAGCGGAATTGCGCTCTGAGATCGCCAAGTGGGGACGCGGGGCGTCGAGCAAGGCTGATAGCAGAGAAGGCACTGTGTCTTCGCGAGGCTCTCCTTCATGCGTCGATGGTCTCCCTGATGGCGCATTGAGCTTACGCACGCAAAACGTACCTGCTGACCGAAGACCGAGTTACTATCTGACTTCTCAGCCGTCGTTGCTGTCGCCGGATGTGCAGCTCAAGGAATATCAAATGGTTGGTGTAAATTGGCTGAATCTGCTTTATCGCAAGAAGCTCAGCTGTATCCTTGCCGACGAGATGGGTGAGTGTTCTTCTATATTCGATCACACTTAGCCGAGCCAACGCGTCGCCTCTGTAGGTCTGGGGAAAACGATACAGGTTATCAGCTTCTTTGCTCATTTGAAAGAGCTGGGGCGAAAAGGACCCCATCTAATCGTCGTCCCGTGAGTTCGTTGCCATCAAGATATTTATGCTGTGATTAATACTCGTTATGCAGGTCTTCCACGCTCGAGAACTGGTGCAGAGAGTTTGACCGCTTTGCCCCAGGGATCACTGTCGCTACATATTATGCCGATAAGGACAAGCGACCCGCTATGCGTCAGAGTCTCCTAGACACACAGCGGAGTCAGACACCAGACGGTTGGGAAGTTTTGATCACCACATACAATCTTGCACAAGGAGATGACAAGGACCGTAAATTCTTCCGGCGCATTACCTGGGATGTGAGTGACGCTCGACATTCTATGCCGATTTGTGCTTATATTGTGTCATCTCTATAAAAGGCCTGCATCTTTGACGAGGGCCATGTTCTGAAGAACTTCCAATCTCAGCGCTATCAAACTCTGCTCAAGTACGAATCACGGTGGAGGTTATTGTTAACTGGAACACCACTGCAGAACAACCTGCAAGAGCTTGTGGTATGCTTACCTTCGAGCTACTTGAGTGGCATCTCACATTCAGCGTGACAGTCACTCATGAATTTCATCCTGCCACAAAAGTTCGAGGAGGATCTTGATACACTGCGTGCGGTGTTCAAAACCAAGGGTGACTCCAAAGTGACACTTCTCGCTCAGGAGCGCGTCTCACGAGCAAAGAAAATGATGACCCCGTTCGTGCTACGCAGACGGAAAGACCAGGCAAGTGAATGCCTCTCACTGCTGACGGCAACCTAACATGTCCATCAGGTTCTGAAAGATCTCCCCAAGAAGAGTGAACGTATTGAATGGTGTGAGATGACTTCATTACAAAAGTCAATCTACAACGAGGCGCTGCGACGCTCTCGGAAGACTGTCTTTGATCTGGAGAACAAGCCCGAGGAGCCTGTTGTTGAGACCAACGGTCGAGGAAAGCCTACAAAGAAGACCCGTCCCAGCGCGCGTCCAAAGGATAAGATGTACCTGGAAAACAGCTCAAATGTACTTATGGATCTTCGAAAAGCAGCGTCACATCCTATGCTCTTCCGAAGACGGTTCACGGACGAGAAGTTGACGTTGATCACCAAACTCTTACTGAAAGAACCCGACTTCAAGAAGAGAGGGGCTGTCTTCCAATATGTGAAGGAGGACATGGAGGTCATGACCGATGCTGAGCTTCAGTTGTTCTGCGCCACCTACAAGGTTTTTGTCACTCAGTTGTGACAACGGCGTGATTACTAATGGTGTATCTAGTCAACGCGGAAGTTCTTGCAGGAGGAAGACTGCTACGTGCAAGCTGGAAAAGTCAAAGTTCTCCTTGATCTGCTGCAAAGATACCAAGCCGATGGGCGTCGCATCTTGATTTTCTCGCAGGTAAGATGGCGTGGCCAATAGCGTATACAGTATGCTTATCATCGGCCCAGTTTACCCAAATCTTAGATATCTTGCAAAGAGTACTCGACAACAGGAAGACCAGGTACTTAGTGTTAACTGGCTCAACACCTGTTGATGTTCGGCAATCCCTGGTGGATGAATTTACCGAGGACGAATCTATTCCCGTGTTTCTATTGTCTACGAAGGCTGGCGGTATGGGAATCAACCTCACAGCTGCAAGCGTCGTGATCATGTAAGCTCCCTTGTGTGTTTCGAGGGAAGTGTGTATTGACGAGTGACTCATGCTCCTCCAGGTTTGACCAAGATTTCAATCCGCATAACGACAAACAAGCACAAGATCGAGCGTACCGAATCGGTCAAAAGCGAGATGTCGATGTTGTGAAACTGATCACGAAGGGGTCCATAGAGGAGGACATGCTGGCACTGGGACAGACAAAGCTGGCGCTCGATGAAGCTGTTGCCGGTGAAGAAGGTGACGAGAGAGTGGAGAGGGAGATCAAGACGTCGCTGATGAATGTGGTCCGCAAGAAGCTAGAAGAAAGCCCTGAAGACGAGGACAAGCCCGACGACTCCAACGGCGCGACGGTGGACGTTGGAAGTCCCTTGAGCGTTTTAGATGACAGCTGATTGGAATAAAACTTATATCGGATGCAACATTTATTCGTTAATACCTCTGTATCTATAGTCGCTATCTCATGTTGTGTTACCTGGAAGGTTTTTCCTCTTCCCTAATGCATGCCGTCTTGCATCTCACCGAGTCCCCCGGCACTTTTCAAGACCGTAACAAGGTTGCTCATCAGGAAAAACTGAGCACTCACGGTTACCGAAGATCGATGTGATTCAACGGCAGTACGCAACTCCGGACGCCATGTACGTAGCACCAAATGTTCTATCATTCAAAAAAGGTGAGACCCTTGATCATTCTATCTGTGCTAGTACGGAAGTATTCGTTATCAATGCCATGCTCCCGTGAGTCCATGTTGACGAGCGGGTTGCGGACCACATACTCCAAAAAGGGCCCTGAATAGATTTGGCGTAGGACAAACCGCAGCGACTCGACGGCGGGATCACTCAGCATCACGAATTTGTACCCCGACAGCGTCTCGTACAGATGGAGTTTGTACGCGGATGTGCGGTAATTCACGAACTGCTCATCTCTGGGGTTCACATGGCATATTGGGCGACGACAAGAGTCACGAGGGCATGGGGTACTCACTTGCCAGAAAGCTTCTTCACCATGTTTCGAAGGGACAAGACAACTCCATAGACAAGTTTTGCCTCTTCGTCGAACGGCAGACCTGCTGAAGCGGGTTGCTGCAGAGCCGGGGGTGATTGCGGTCGCGGAGCCGGAAGTGGTGTGCGGGGAGCTTCGTCGTTCACCGCAACGAGGACACCCGAAGCGGAAGATAACGTGTTCTTAGGATTACTGAGAACGGACGTAGTGTCGATGACGGCCTCTTCCTGACGAGGGTAGACAGCTGCAGACACTGCGGGTAAGAGGCCACCACCCTCTACAGCGACTCTAGGGCGTTTGCTGCGATGCCAGTCTTGGTAGTACACGCAGTTGCAATGCCTGTATACGTACCGTGAAATGAGGTGCCTTGCGAGAGCTGAGGGCTTACCTGTCATATATGTACAGGCTATAAATCGTCATTCTTGGGATGTCGTCGAATCCAACTAGCGCTGGCGACGAGATTCACCGGCAGGGTTCAAGAAGCGGTAACTCGAGGGAAGAAACGGCAAATATTCAGAGAGAAATGTAACGCGGACCAGACAGGTGCAGGGTTCAACAGATGGGAGTCACGGTTTGATGCCGGCGGTGGCTGCTCAAAGTCGCAGTCAGAGGAACGCACTGGCATTCGATTGCCCGATCATGCTCGATCTTCTCCGAGAATCTCAGATGCAGTGCTAAACGACGCCCGAACAAGCTTCCAGCCGCTAACCACGATCTCTGTTACAGCACAAACTGGAAATAACACGCAAAGCTGTCCGGACCAAGAACCACAGGTACTAGGTAGCTGAGCAGCAGTTGAAAGCAGAAAGATACAACAAGTAAAATACAGCACGCCAATACACCTACAACATCCTGAGACATCAAACCGGGACACCTACGTACTCCTGCTTCTCTTCCGGAGACAGGTACAGGCCAGGCGGAGGTCCCGAGTAGGTCGGGATCTTCTCGTCAAATTGGTTGTACAGCGGTAGTCCTTGTACGGGCACGGGAGGCGCCTGACCATAGCCGTACGCTGCTGCCGTCGGGTCAGCGGGTCCATTGACGAGATACTAACCAGGGACATAAGCTTCACACAGGAACTGTTATGACTAGAAACGTACAGGAGGAAGCTGAGAGTTGAACTGGAAGGATGTTGGTGCTGTAGAACTTGGGACGGTAATGTTTAATTTCTACGTTGTTTCAGCCTCTGGCGTCCGAGAACACAAAGCATCACACTCACGATTGCGTTGACACCGATGCCAGGCATGGAGATTCTGTACGTGGGAAGTTCCACATCGGGCTTGACAGAACGATCCTCTGCCTCAAAGCGCTGAAGCATCTTGTTCACTTGCGACTTTCCCTGATTGTGTTGTCAGACATCGCGGCGAATCTGTTTTCGGAAAACTTACAGAAAGCTTCCAGAGGAACATGGGTATCCACATCAGGAGGAGAACAGCAAAGAAACTGGCGATGCTGATTCCCCGTGCCTTCCAAATTCGGCCAGTATCATCCCAGCCATAAGGCCAGTAATCGAACTCAACTTCGTTTTCACCTGGGAGAAGATGCAAGGCGACATAATACATGCCAATGGGGACAGCCAATGTGGCGCTACAACGTGATCAACTCAGCACAGGTGATCTCGACCCGAGAACGAGTCCACGACGCACATGAAGGTGATTATAGCCCACACCATGTCGAAGCCTGGCTTGATGTAGCGAGAACCTTTACGCACGACCGCTCGGATTCTGGCTTGCCATGCATCCTTGGAAATCTACATACGCAAGAAGTTATCAGGGCTGACAATGGGTGACTCGGAGCCACTCACGAAACTCTGTAGCTGATACGGGACCTGCTCCGGAGGTGGTTGGTCGACAGGAAGACGCTTTGAGACTAGTAAGCCATTCTGAGCACCATCTCCCTGACTCTGCACCTCACCAGTTCAATAACGTTGGCGGCCATCTTGTGCACTGCAGGATGAGTCTCGACTCGCGAGCCAGGTAGTAACTGAGTTGGGCAGCTTGTAGAAAAGGGAGAAGAAAAGGTCGAACCGGTCGACGCTGTGAAGAATTGACAACGGTCCTGCCTGCAGTCACAAACTGGGGAGAGCGGGATTAAGTAGAGGGAGGGAGCTGAGAACGGTCGCCGTCGCACTGCCGCGTTTGTCGTCTTGGCGCCACCGTCGCTACAGATTGGTGATCGGCCCGCGCCACCATATCAGGAAGGTCTCTAGGAACGACACCATAACTGTCCCTCGTAACTGTTCCACGGCACACCACCTATGGTCTTCCCTGGCGTTGTTATGAGAGCGAAAAATGTCGGAGAAAGACTTTCATATACTCCAGACACAGCCACTCAAGCAGCTAGACGGCCATCAATTGCTATCAATGCGATCTCAAGACATCCATCCCAAGCAGCATCACGAAACGTTCCGTATCCGTGTTGGTACACACTTATGTTTGATTACTCGAACCTCGAAAGGTTAGCTAGATACCCTCATCCTCCCTACAGGCAGTCGATAGAACCGCTGTGTAAAGTACTCTCTGGTCTGGCCCCAACGGTCTCCGTCTGCTTCAACAACGTCCACATCGCTCCATTCGACATCGATGCCAACGTCCGACAGGTGGAGTTCCGATACTTGGGTATACACGTCATAGAAAGTGGCATCTACACGCCATGGAATCAGTAGGAGCGAGAGAGGTGAGAGAAGCAGCGTACTTGTGGCACCTAGACCGTTGAAGAATCCAAAACGTGATTCCGGGCCCAAAAGCAGATCAGGTACGTGTCCGAAGAATTCACGGAGATCTGGTCGCTTTGCATTCAGGGCGTGCGCCTAAAGTGGTTGATTGTTAATCTCACCTTTGTAGTCCTCTGAGAAGGTGTCAGTGTAGACCACATCAAAGCCGCCTGCACCAAGCAATGCGTCGCTTTCGATAAAATCTTGCCATTTGCCTTCGAGCACCTTGACACCCGGTTTATCGAACCAGCCAAGTTCTCGCATGCGCTGCAGGACGTCCGGATGTGGTTCAATGATGACATGCAGCGAAGGTGGAGTGGGTAAGGACTGGAACATGGTGTCGATCTATGTGATTGGTCAATAAAATCTTCACAGCGGACCATTTTCTATACATACTATGCCGAGGCCAAAGCCCACATTTAGAATTTTGAGACCATCTACGAAGTTCTCGTGGCCCGAACAGAGTTTATGCACCGTTTCCTGCACTTGACACTATCGTACTCGGTCTGATAGTTTTGAGCCAGAATCATATGATACTCACTAATTCCACGTTCCCATCCCATCATGACCCCCACTTCCTCGTTGTCACTGACCTTGACGAGACAGATCTCTTGGCCATATTCATCCTTGGTAAACGATAAATGCGATGTCAGAAAGGTTTCAGAAGAGCTAGCAGCAGTTGTGTCTGTGGCTTTGAGCACAAGCGACAGCGACGAGTCGGCGGGCGGAGAGCGCGAAGAGAGTAGCGAAAGAATCAGTTCTGCGGTGGCGAGAACATAGTCTGAGACGTATTCAGAGTAATATACGAAGATTTGAGCTCACCGGAGCGGATACCGGCATCTCGGACGATGTTGTAACAAGTTTCGTTGTTGAATGACAATGCTATATCACCTGCAGTGTTGTGCAGGTTGTCGACTATCCTCGACAGCCCACTACTCGTAAGGATCTCGCGGCAAGGTGTTCCGGGGGGTGGACGGACCTGAGTTCCATATTGCACCCTCCTCTATCAAGTATGTCATTAGCTTTGCGTTCTCCACATAAGCTGCAGCGTGTAGCGCTGAAGTGCCCTCTTCGTCTTGAAACCAGAGAGGAGCACCGTCCGCAACCATATTTTTGATAGTTTCCATCGGGGCGCGCTCTAATATCGCAATAATCAAAGCCTCTCCCAGACTGACAAGCGCATCGACTTCTTCCTCGTTTCCCCAGTCTGGTGATTGCGAGCGTGGTGGAGCAGTCATCGTAGATCGCGGCCTGTAGAGATCGGCGCAGTCCTGTTGCTGAAAGGGATTTTCTGGTAGAATTCCCAAGTGGGACACCGCGCGCTCATGTGATATACGCGTGAGCGTCGCGTCGCGCACATTTGGTTTTCGCGTTCGTAAAATTTGCAGTCAAGTCACGGCGGCAAATTGTGTATTATATGATGGTCACAGCTCGATGCTTAGAATTTGGAGCTCTATTCCTAGCGCGGAAGAACACTCAGAATTTCGAATGGCGCCCTATCCTGTGAGAAGCAATGGCCACGTTCGCAGAGCTCTCGTATCATCCTGCAAAACGTGCTTGTTATGCCATAGTCCGACTAAGTTAGTTCCATTGTAACGCTCGTTATGTCGTCTCGGCACACCGTCGATACTGCATAGTCATCAATCACGCTTGACTCCGATAATCAGAAACTTATGCGAAAGGAAGCATGCACGATGGCCGCACCCAATGCCTCTATGCCAAACGACAGACGTAATACAGCAGGGGCTACTAGCGTTGTTGCGGATGGGCTGATATCGTTCTGTCGTAAAGCGGGAACACGTCGGCAGCCACAAGACAAGAAGGGAAGCTTCAGACGGCACAAAGTTGCAGGCAGGCGCCGCAGCTGCTGAGATACAGGGTCGGCTACCGGCCTGGAACAAAAGTTGGTGTCCTGCGGCATTGGCCACAGCACCCATCATCGGGTCTGAACCAGAAGCCTTCCATATCACAATTGCGTCTAGGCGGAACAGGAACCTGCGGTAAGGTTTAAACGACGACGACAGCTTCTATATTGCTCCATCAGGCGGGCTCTTAGACAAGAATGGCGAGAGAATTTATGAAGACAAACCAGAAGCAATGATTTATCAGAAGACTTGTTAGAATCCACGAGGGGTCAATGAAACCGCACAGGCGTATCGCCAACTTGGCCGGAGATCGAGGGTGAAGGCAGCGCGCGAAACCAAACTTATGGAACTAAAATCAACTGTAGGCTTGGTTAGGCATTGTCCAAATGGTTGAAAGGCAAATTTGTCGCTGGTTACCGTACGACATACACACGATCAGCGCATGGCTAAGGCTTGGCACAGCAGTCATGTAAAGAGAATCCAAGAAAAGCTGTCAAAGAAGCTCATACATTGCGTTTCCTCGCACAAGTTACAGTGGAGCCTGATGATCAGATAGGACCTTGATGCAGGAAGTACAGTGAGCGTTACGATTTGAACGTGTGGTCATGTCCATACGAGGCCAACTTATAAAAGCCTGCAAGGGAATATCTACCCAATCAACCACGGGGAGTCACGCTCATGAGCATGTATTACCTGGTGAATATCAAGGAGATGTGACATAAAGTCTTCATATGGAGTCCTCCTCGTGTATTGTGATTCGTGGCGCGTCTATCACGCCAACTGGAGGAGTATCGGTCGGTGTATCGTCATGATCAGGTCCTGCAGGTACGGGCGGAGCAGGTCCGATATCGTCCTCGCTGCCTTCATCGCTCTCGTCGCCAGGTTTTCTGAAAATAAGCTCCTTCCCACTGACGAGGCGCCTCTTCTTTAATGGGACATCCGGCACGTCCGCAGAGGCACCCGCACCAGAGGTAGACTCTTTCTCAGTGGTATTGCCTTTGCTACGTCCCTTTTTCTTCTGTCTCTTGGCGCGGTTTTTCGCGGTCTTTGCTTCAGCCTGGTCCTCCCACTCTTTTCTCTTCCGCTCGAACTCAGCCATGTCTGTTTCCTGCAGAATAGATGTCATAGCGAGTTTCAACAAAGAGGCAGGGCGCGCACCTTTTGTGCCTTCTCGTCCATGAGTTTCAGCCTCTCATACTCCCTCCGCCTACTTGCTTTGTAGACGTGAAACTCGCCACTGCCTGCACCGGCGCTGGAGCCCTGCACATTCTTCATCATCTCCCGTGCAGGACGAACACTCTTTTCTTTCGGTGGTGTGGGGACATATGCAGGCTTAGATGGGTCTTTAAGCAGCCTGTCAAGCTGCATGCGTTGTCTTTCAACTGGCGTTGCGGCATGACGATTAGCGGGCGCGGGTGTTGACTGGGGAATGGGAGACGCAGACATGGTTGCAAGTGGCTGAGAATGTGTGCCACAGCCACCAGTCATCTCGATCTACTGCCCGCCCGGCCCACGTCTAAATCATATCTCAAGACCGTCTCCGTTCGGGCTGTACAAACCGGCTGTCATGCTGTATAAAATTGCACCGAGTATAACATATTCTAACGACATGTGCTACATAAGGGCATGCTAAATCAACTGATTCCACTGATGAAATGCAAGTAGTAAAGGTGGGTGATACTATTGACTACAGAAGACACGCGTGAAAGATAGCGGGTATTATACGACTGCAAAGACATGGTTAATATCCAAATATAATTAGACATGAAGTGCAGAGACATACGTAGGACAGCGTTGATGCATCCATCGTTCTCAGGGTTATTTGTAATTTGTGCATACTTCCCGAATACGACCTTCCCGCCTGCGGTGACCATGCCCAATTCTGATACATTTACTTCAATCACAGTGCCTTTGGTTAGGACACCCAGCTGAGTGTACATTGGCGATTGGGGGTTCTTCTTCACACCTAAGATTTGTAGCTGGAAGGTCGCTTTGAGATCAGCTGCAGAGGCAGACATCAGTAAAACGGTAATACATCATTGAGCATCATACGTACGATGAGTGACATTTGCCTTTTTATAACGCAACGCCATAGGCCGCACGAATCGCTCCATCTTGACCGGTTTCCGGGTGAAGCCTTCCCCTACGAACGTTGCCTTTGTGACCATCCGCTTCCACGCCTTTTTCTTGCTCTTTCCCGTCCGCATAACCTTGAACATCTCATCCTCTGCAATTCCTCGAACTTTGGGCAGGGGGACGGTATATTTCGCCGCCTTGTCCTTCCGTTTCTCCTTGATTGCCGTCGACAGTGCTTTTGCGTCCTTCTGCCCTTCACGATCAAGCAGGTATGTCGGCAGAGCGCCGTCTGGCACTGTTGATGAATCTTTTTGCTTGACATTACGCTCATCGTGCGCCTTGAGTGTTTTCTTCATCTGTACTTTCTCAGCATGGCGTTTAGCATGTAGAATTTTAGCCTTTAGACCAAACGCCTTCTGGGCGGTAGCAGAGGCACGGTGAACGGCCCTGGCTTCCCGTTTTCGTCTTTGATACAGATGATTGTAAGACCTGGAAATGCTCAAGAGCAACCAGAACATACTTCCGCTCATAGTAGTCTAACCGCCGACCATGTCGCTTGATGTGCTCTTCTATGTACTCGTTCTGTATTAGACGAAGTGAGTGTTTCTGCGATCGTATACATCAATATATACATACCTGAGGCTGTATGCAAAAACACAATTAGCTTTGTGAGCTCCATAAGCACGGAAGACAGACGCACCATTGGTGTTGGGAGGAGCGAAAATGCCGATTACCCATTTAGGCGCGGAGAGTGGTAAGCGCGCTTGAGGATGGAGGAAGCGTGTAATTCGAGCAACGGTGCGTCCGTTCCACGTTCCACGTCCAAAGTGCGCGCCGCGCTTCTCATACATCTCTGCTCTCCTTTCCTTGTCAGCATGTGGCAGGACACAAATAACGCATACAGTACATCATCCTCTCAAAATCAGTATTATACAGGTGCACCGGCGCCGCAGGGAGTCCCACTTCAGTTCTATGCGCCCAGCCCCGTCAACAGCAGTTTCTACACCGGATCACGCTCCAGTCTCGAGGGAACTGTCGGTGCTCAGGGATCAATAGCTCAACAGGGGGCTCCGCCGGGATACGGAGGCAATATCCAAGCTGCAGGAGGCTGGTGGACTGCCTTTGGGACGGGTGGCTTCGAGGGCGAGCCGCCATTGCTGGAAGGTGCCGTGAGCCTCATTCTAATTTTCTATTGACATCTTATTTGCGTGTAGAATTGGGGATCAATTTCTCGCATATCCGCGCGAAGTCCCTGACCGTGCTCAATCCCTTGCGGCGAGTGGATGAGCACATCATGGATGATGCTGACCTGGCAGGACCCCTACTTTTCTTCCTCTGTTTCGGCACATTCCTATTGTTTGTGAGTTGCTCTCTATGCATGACCTATATGCAGCTTGTCTGAGCGCACTTTCCGTGTGGTCGTTCAATTCAGTCCGGAAAACCTCAGTTCGGCTACATTTATGGGGTCGGCCTGCTAGGCTCTGCATCCATCTACACATTACTGAATTTGATGTCAGAGAAAGGGATCGATGCATACCGCGTTGTGTCGGTACTAGGGTATTGTCTACTGCCTATGGTTGGGGTTGGTGCATCAAGCATCATGGTTACGCTCGAGTACGTTTGCCTCATTTTGTCAGGATAATCTTACTCAACCACCAAACAGCGGATCACTGGGCTACATTTTGTCAGTATTATCGATTCTGTGGTGCACGTATGCAGCATCAGGAATCTTCGTGGCTGTGTTACGGATGTCAGATCAGCGATTTTTGGTTGCATATCCGGTTGGTCTACTGTATGGGTGCTTCGCACTCCTTAGTGTATTCAATGTCGGTGGCTCCGGTTCAAAGTAATCAACCGATTTCATGCTGACAGAACATTACATACAATATGGACGATGTATAGGAAACAAACATCAAGTGGATTAGGGATAATAATCCATATACTGATCCACATATATTGTACCGTACGCGTCGCAATCATCCAGAGTACGCCGTCTGTACTATAAACATATCATAAGTTATATACTCCTTTTATCTTAAACGTCCGTTTTGATATCTTGATTAGAATCTAACTGCTTGCTATAGATCTTAAGTAAAGCCTTCATGATCTCCTCAGTAGGCAACGTGGCATATTCGTGCACGTATTGTGGCAGCGAATCCTCTAGACTGAACCCTGCCTTTTTCATGAAGAACGGATGCATAACATCTGGAGTGGCTTCCCCTAGTTGTCTCATAGTGAGTCGCTCAATGGACCGCTCGCGTGGCTCGTACGTTAGGCCGAGTGATTTGGCAGGTAGTGGTGGGGGTAGGTCTGATCCAATGGACGTTGGCAGCGCCATCAGCTTCGATGTAGAGGATGGATTGAATGCAGGCTTAGAGGGCGAGACTGGAGAAGATAATGATACGTGATCGTCGTTTGTGGATGTTCCCAAACCATTCGACGCGGTAACAGTGTCAAGAGTTTCGGGTCGCAAGGAAATTGAGTCGTTCCCTCGTTTGCGCTGGAATGTCTGTTGTGTGAAGCCGTTCGCTGCGCCGCGGATGTCGCCTGCTAACTGCACCTGCTCCATCTCCCTAGCGAACGTCTTGCGAAGCGAAGTGAGCCAAGCATATAGAGACATGTTTAAACTGATGTAAATATCTTCCGTATCTTTCGTGCCCTTCTTGACGCTAAATCTACTGCTGAAATCGTATCTGAGGACTCTCTTGCCTCCTTGTGCAGTTTCCTCGCTTCGCATCTGTATATCCATGGTTGGTAGCCCGAATATAATCGCCTCGGGGGCATCCTTGACTAAATTTGATAGCCATTGCTTGATCCCATCGGCGTTCTCTTTCGCAACTAGCGCATGATTTAGTTGACTGATCCTCGAAGTCATGATGGATGAGAAGGACAGTCGCAGGTCACGTCTTGCAGGCAAGGCGTTAGTCTCAACCAAACGGTCGAGACGAGCGTGGACGTCATGTCCAATAAACTGAGCCAACTCCAGGTCACGCATTGAACGAGGGAAAACAATTAACTGCAGTAAGTTGAGTCTGAGGCTCATGCGCTGGCCAACGGTATATGTTAAACCAGCCTCTTCCTTCAAGCGGTTGCGAGTGGAAGTGAGCATTGCATTTGCCACAGCCGATAATGGATTGTCTGGTTTGGGGGAGCTTGCAACCCTGAAAGCTTTCGACTCACGGCCAGCGCCTTCGCGCTGATTGTCCAATGTCATCCTGAACTTATGGGCGTAAGAAACGAGCTTTGGGATAGTGCCAACGTTCATAATTATGACCACGTCCGACCCGGAAACGGTGAATGCCACATCGACATGCCGGTCTTCTGGTGAAACTTGTGTTGAAATCGCAGACCAATCGTCGTAAATCTTTACCTCGATAGGTTCCGCCCTAGATTATAGGCATCCGTCGGTTAGAAATCTACATTCAAGCAAATTAGGCACACCTGTATTGAATCAGTCTCTGGAACTCAGATTCCAATTCAATGCTGAACACTCCAGTGGTTATGACAAGATCCAACATTTTGTTCCCCGAGGCGCAACCGGGAATGCCGCCGAAGTTGCGCATGGACTGGAAGCGAAAATCGGGGGCCGATATCTTGCCTGACACGTTGCCTGACGCCACCATAGCTAGCTGGGATATGGTCAAGGTGAGCTCTGAGAAAGCGTCGCATATTTTTGTCCTGACAAGCATATCGTCAACATTGAGGTGTATAAGGCTGATAGATTGTCCAAGATCCGCGGCCAAGTGAATCTGACGGAAGCGAAGGATAACAGCCGTTGTAAGTTCCTGATGTGAGCTGCGGGCAATACTTTGCCCTGTAGATTTCGTTGCATTGGGAGTACCTGGGATCGCGACATTCCGACTGCTGAAAACTGGGATACGATCCAGCCAAACTGCTTTGAAACATAATACATCCTGTAGGCGGGAAAAGCGTATGCTGCCTGAGAACTCTGTGTCTACTACTACAGAGATGGAACTTGAGATTTTCTCTCGACCGGGTCCAGTTTTCGCGAAGGTCAGGTTGAAAGCCAAATTGCGTGCGTCAAGTCTGACACAATCCTCGCTCAAAAAACCATGCTTGAGGCCAATGGTTAGGCCGCCCACAGAGCCTGAGAACGTCACACGGCGAGCACCAGGAGCAATATCAACAATGAAACCGCCACTGTCCCAATGGAGTCCGGCAATGACGTTGACATCAGGCTGGCAGGTCAACTCCAGCTTGGACTGATCGATTCGGAGGCTCAGGCTAATCTTCGTACCTGACATGGCATCATCCAAACTGTCCGTTATGTCACTTGCAGTCGCAGAAGGAAGGGTTTCGTGACTTCTGAATGGAGAGGACAGTGAATCCGGTCGGCTGCTTTGTCTCATGCGATCTTCGATGCGAGTAACGAGGTCGGTGAGAAATGAGAGAAGTGTGGGTCGTAACGTATTTTGGCTGGAGTGAATTGTGCTCTTAAACATCAAAGTTGACAATTCAGACTCGTGATATGATCCAGTCAACTTCCTGAAAGCCGACATTGCTCGGTATTCTCCCCAAACAGAGACCACAGGGAGATCGAAGGTCTCAGCCTCAATTTCTCCATGAGCTTGAGCAACAAAGGTGTGAGTGGAGGTTGGCGTCCTGATTCGCGATGAATCGTGCTTGTACCTCCCGCTATGCATTCGAAGACGCCCACTAGCGAATTTGAACGACAAGAGGACGTTGGAAGTCGGCAGCGACTCGAATTGAGGCTGTATTTGCCTAGATTCCGATTTTGTATCACTTTCGCGATCTCCGACTTGCGGACGAGATATGTTACTTGTCAAGCGGTCCATACGGTCCACACCCTGGTGGTAAACATCGATGAGTGAGAAGACATAGTCGGCGATCGAAGAATCCATATCCAACACAAATCCGCTTACGTCCGCACCAATGCGAATGCGGCGTGATGCAGAAGATCGCTCGGAACGAAGATTAGCTGTCATCTCGGGGTAGAGCAATCTGTTCCGAGTATTATGACTATCGCCAGCAAAATCAGTTGGAATTGACTGCCTAAACCTACAAAATAGGCACTGTCTTGAGATATCAATCTATGAAGATGATGCAGAGAGCATACCGAGGAACAAACTGAAAAGCGAATCCGTGCATAGTAGCTTGTCCGCTCTCACCATGCTGTGCGCCAAAGGACAGTGATTTGATGGAAAACAGGAAGGCTCGAACTGCAGGAGCAACATCTTGACCCCCTGATCGATTCATTCGGAGTGAGGGGCTGGCTGCCAATGGGAAAGCTACGCCAATATTCTTGATAGTCGAAGAAATGGTGTATCGATCTATCCAGGAAAATCTTGGACGCTGGCTCTCGCCAACCTTGACGTCGAATGATCGCATTATGCTTTTCGTCTTCTCTTTGAACCGTGCAAGCTCGTCAGCACGATCTGCTTGCCGCAACAAAACCTCACCCTAACGAGCGTCAGTGTCAACCCGACTCGATCTACTCTGCTACACTAACCTGTAGGTGGTCAACAAAGTCATCAAGTTCACCTATCGATGTCGGCTGCATGACGGCGTGGACTTTAGTAATTGCGAACTGCAGGCTTTGTCCCCGGGGAGTCGTGGCTTGATGCCTCATTTTGACCAAGAAGTCGATGGTAACGAAAGCTGACCGGTGACCTCTCTCCAAAGCAACTCGTTCCCCTGCCCGTGTGGCGAGAGATAGCGCTAGATCAGACAATTGAATGTGCCAGGCTAATCCAAGCTGATTTTCTATACTGCCGCTAATGTCGTTACATTCCAAGAGGACTGTCGAGGAATGCCCTTCGAGGCCGATTTGAAAGCCTTTCATCCTTGCAAAGGCGCTGATCTTCATTGTGTTGGTTGCGGCCAGACCAGGTCCTGGTACAGAGCCCATTGATCGTTTTGAACTCGTTTGCTCGATCAGATGAAGGAGATCATTGAAATCCTGACCTGACTTCTGTTGGACGGAGAGGATAATGTCCCAATCAGATGGCTTAACCATAATGTGAAAGAATTCCACCGATACCAAACCCTGGAAGCCCGATTCATCATATTGACCCTTGAGGGCAAGAACGGGCAGTTCCAGCTGAATGCGTACATCCGATGCTTCGTGCGACTTCGTCTCATCACGAGAGACAATTTCAGCGAGATGTGGCCCCATTTGCAAACCAAAGGTACACCTGCGTCCTTGATGGAATTTGACAGAAGATGTCAGGTAGGCGGTAGCCCTCTTAACATTCCAGGAAAGCCACGTGCCCAGCATGATTTGTAGATTGATGCGTAGTGATGAGAGTGAGATGTGTACTTGGATGTAGGGGGTGGCTCCACGTTGAGATATTCTGAACGAGGGTGAGCCCGGCTTGTCAGATCCTAGCTCCGATACCAAGGTTTGAAAAGCAGTTTCAATACCAGGAAGGTAGTCAGCTCTCCATTCTTCCACAAAGCGGTATGTACGCAGCACGCTGCGAGGCACGTTAAGCTCCACCTGGTCAACACCGAGGACTATTTCCAATCTAGAGATAAGTTGCCACTCCTGAAGGACTACAAGGCTGATCTTGCTCCTTCGAATGATGAGTGAAGCAAGTGTTTTCTGCTCCACTGTTCGACAACATTCCTTGGTAGCACAAACACGAAAGGCAGTTTCGTCTAAAATGGCCGAGAAGTTTGTTGAGTTACGCCCTTCTGTGGCTAGAGCGTCCTTGTGCAAGGAAGTATATGCGACCCCAAGACCAGAAATGCTGAATTCAAGTGCCAATTTGTCTGCTGCTGCCCTAAACGTCAGAGATTTGACGGATAATGCAGCTTCAAAATAGCCGATAGCGGTTGGAATTTTATGTCTGTTTGGGAGGTTCAAGGGCGATTTTGTTTCTGACGCGGTCTCATCAGTTGCTGCCAGAGCGGACGAGTATCGCCTATTCATCCGCACGACCACTTCGAAAAAGGATATGAGCCTAGGATAGATGTCGAGAGCTAGGGAGTCCAAGGAGATCGACAATATGATATGTCGGATAGTGGGGTGCTCTTCGTCATGGAGTGAAAGAGTGGGAGGAGTCCGTTTCGTGTTAGATGGCGACAGATGAAGAACTGCTGGAGACTTGAATTGTATTTTGGAAGCAAGGGGTCCAAGGTAGAGCTTGCTCTCAGTACAACTAGCTCCGCCTGCATCATGCCGAATGGATACCGATAACTTTCCTGCTTGCAAAATGACAATGTCGATAGGGGGTTGACCGTGAATCTGTCCGTCCTGCGCAAGTTCAGTAGCAGCGTTACTGAAGAGCTTGTTCAGGAGCGATCGACCGGATGGATTCGCCGCATCCTCGTCTAGGCCGTGGCTCAGGTACTGGGTATCGACCAAGAGTATGATGTCCTGAACAGTGATCTCAGGCGGGGTTTCAAGTTGATAGTTCACTATGGCCTGACGTTCTGAAGGGTCTAGATATCGGAGACAGTTACGCAAATGAACGAGGAGCTTGAAAGCATTATCTTTCCGCAATCTGTCCGGTAAGCCCTTCTGTACAAGATAGGAGGGTTGAATGGCAGACAAAGGGTCGATAAATGTTCTTTGGCGGGAACAGGCCAAAATTTCATGCATAAGTCGTTTGTCCAGAGCAGGGATATGGGAGGAAATCTTGTCCTTGGTGTTTATCATTGCTCTATAAAGCTGCAGGGTAACAACAGCGGTTGCGAGGGTTAGCTCTGGGGTGGCATGATCTACGGTCGTGGACAGCTGGCCTAACGATAGAGTCAGTTTCTTTTCGGTGAGATTGAATACACTGCGTCCTAAAGAGATCTGACACGTCGGGACAGCAGCACCAGACTCTGTCCACGGAACTTTGAGGCCTAGATATGATTTGAGGCTGAACGAGAAATCTTCTATCGACGAGGAAAATGTGCCTTGGGTCTGACCCTTGCTATGTTGAACAAACTTTGCACTGACGTGGCAGCCTTCCAAGGCCAGTGTCGTAGTTGTCTTCGGGATTTCTCGAGCTCGTGATCGGCTGCCCTCCTTGGTGGAAGTCGACCGCGTGATGGCTTGCGTAAGGCTCACACGCACAGAGGACATCAAAAAATCGAGCACCGTGATCTGACTTGGTGGGTCGTTGCCTTCTGTATCGGACAAAGACATGTATTTTGCCAATAGCATGTCTATGCGAAGCTCTGGACCTAGCCGCTGTAATTTTAAACGATTAGAAAAAACACTGTTCCGAAAGGTTGAACCAAGAATCATACGTTGCGCTTCACGTCTTCAACAACTTCATTCACGAACAAGAGGACTAACGGCGTCAACCAGATATTAACACCATCCTCGCAAAGGAAGCGAGCAACAGATGCATGGGTATTGCGATCCGCAGGTTCCCTCATCGCGTGAAGATCGATATCATAATGCGATGTCCTTCTGTGCACGGAAGACGAAGTCATATGAGTCATCCGCTGAACTCTAGGATTTGGAGTCTAAGGTGACACATTAGTTGAGCTCCTACTCGCAAACATGATATGCGTACTCGACAAAGTGAGAAAGGTGAACCGTCCCATAATGAAGGCTGCCGTAGAGTTGATTCCTTGTAGTGGCAGGTCACGTCCAGATATTGTAGCACCGATGGCCAAGGCCCATCAGGTGAAATATCTGAAATCCGTTAAGTTTAAGGCAGACGGAACAGCTTACTGACTTACCCTCTATGCCACATGAATCGTCACTATTCCAATCGGAATCGGCGGAATCAGTGAGATCATCATCGTCAGATTCCTCTCCGCTGAATGCACTCTCGTCTTCGCCATACCAATCTGTATGAGACGAACGTATTGGGCGAGAATTACTGCATATTTTCGTCAGTATAGTCGGTGCAGAGGCACGCATAGCACTTACGCTAGGCGAGCATCACGATCGGCCTCTGAAACACCCTCGTCTCCGTCGGATTCATATTGACGACTCGCTGATAAATACTCATTGAGTGGCATCAATTTTCTCTTGGCCAGACGATCCATGATACCAGAGTGACCGACCCTCCTCGCATGCGATCTGGATGAAACGCGGAGCTGAGGAAGATATAGGTCGTTATCTAGCAAACCACGTCCTGGACATTTATTATGAACACGTAAATAATGTACCTATGATTATGGTCCTTACCTGACGGGACTTTATCATTCGAAGGGTCTAGCCTTTGCGGGGAATACAGAACCTTAGCACGACCGGTGAGCTTGTCTTGGCTGGTGACGAACTCGGTTTGGGCGCGAGCACTGTCTTGCCATCCCGGGGGAGCCACGTATATATCCAGCTTGGCGTCAAACTGAATCCTTGCTACCTCGCACCAGGTATACGATAGCTGTTTCGTAGTGACCAAAGCCTTGAGCGTTGCACTAGGTAGACGAAAGCTGAGTACTTTCCGATGGCACTGGCCTGGGAGGTCATTACTATCGAAGCGACATCCACGCGGCAAAATAATTTCTACCGCTGAGTGCTCCGTTAGACAAATAACATTCACTGAATCGAAAGTGACCTTCAAGAATGTAACTACATATACTTGGATCAGTCCACTCTCATAAACAAGTACAGAGCGCACTCACCGTCTGGATACGTAGGCACCACAAATTCTCTTGCGGGCGCGTTGAGTGGGTCAGTATAATTCAGACTGAAGGAAGTTCCTAGTGCCGAAAGCAACTGGCACTGGTAAGTGGATAAAGCAGTTTTGACGTTGCTAACGTGGATTTCCCAAATGCACACATAAGTGGAAGTCTGAGGCTGGGGACCAAATAACCTGTTCGCAGTTATACCCAACGCTGATGCGGGCGTGAATAAGCGTGTGAGATTACTCATATTAGACTTACAATCAATAACAATGACGTCCTTGTTCCTCTGAGAAGACTTGCGATCCGAGCGGACGTTGGTTAGCCAATGATCTTCAAGATAGCCTTGCAACGTGCCAACGTTCAAGGACATGTCTACTCGAGACAGTACTCAGTTTCACGTCATGGCGAGTTATGGACACCTCTCACCCATATAGTAGTCATTTGTTCTAAGCCCCACTTGCAAGTCCGGGAGGCTCAGCACCAGACAAGAACCCAAATCTGCCGGCCCAACTTTAGCCTGCGCGGGGCTATGCGCTTCATAACCCGGAAGCCCTATTGGGAGTATGATAAAGCCTCCATCTACACTGAGATTTAGCTCCAATTCCATGGAGTTAGACTAGTTTAGCGCAAGATATCAGAAGTTGGATCGTATATGACCTTCCCAATGGCCAAAAACACACCTTTCCCAGTCTGTATTGCAGCTCGATCGGATCTCCAATAGGCTGCCCCTTTTTCCGTTTCTCAAGATACTCATACAAAGTGCTAAAATGAGTGAAGGAGCCAAAATAGTTGTCGCGAAGGATTAGGAAGTGTCTGATGGTCCAGCCAAATGCCTTGAAGACCACATCACGAGCCTAAATTATTCCAATCAGCGTCCCCTATCACAAGTAAACGCATAAGCAACCAGCTGGATGTACCTTGAAATCAAGCCTGAGATGGTCCATGTTCTCATGGCGTACTTCTGCATGATACCGGTATGACGCATCCAAGCTGACCAAACCTATCCTTCCTATCTCGGTGCGATCTGGTACGGGGTACAAGGTATAGGAGTTCCAGCGCGGTAATGTAAGGCTAATGACAGCATTCGGAGCCTCAATACCGAAAGATACAGTCGTCGCTTCTGGCCGATATCGCAGGGATGGAAGGCGAGCGTTGATTGAGAGGTACGTTCCGCACAACTTCAACAAGGCTAATATCAGAGAATCAGAATAATCCGACAAGTATGGGAATAAAAACGTGCCGTTCTCCTCCTTGATGAGTGGCTTATCAATAATGTTGTGGTCATTCACGTACATGTTGAGTTCGTAATTGTGCAAGTCGAGCTCCACAGTATACAGCATCGGGATAAATCGAAAGTAGTCAACTGGGGGCCCCGAACTCCAGTCTTTTCCTAAGTCGGTAAGCATGTTCATATGATCTCTGAGGAGGTATAAGTCCGTTTGACGAAGCGACACAGCAAACGCCCATTGCCTCTCGCCATTCCACTGAAGGGGAGAAGGTAGATGACACCGGACCTATTCCATCTATGTGTTAGCATCACAGGTGGGATCAGAATGAGCCCAAATACCCTGCAAGACTCCGCAGAAACCAACCGAATATCATTAAGGCTCGACGTGACGGTTACAGTATCAAGGTGTACCTCCAGAATCGGCTGATAACCAGAAGGACTGACCACCATGGGCAAAATGTAACTGATGGTAGAACTATCGCCAGCTTTGATGTGAATTGAAGCGGCTTCCCTTCTGCGCGGTCTATTTGGTACATGAACTTTGCCATCCCATTGCCAATCCTGTTGAGATTGAGTGTGTAACAGGGCTGAGAAACGTTAGGGGTCGCTCTCACTTTAGAAGCTTCTCGAAAAGGAATATGTAGCGTAACACCTTCTCGCAACTCTACGAAGACTTTGAGGCCAGTCCACATCCGTGTATCTCCAGGTTTGAGACGCGCCGCTGGCTCTAAATCGTGAAATGTCGGCGGAAAGAAGCAATGCTGCAAAATCACCCTAAATTCACATAAGAAAGGCAGGTATAGAATATTGAACTGGCCACAGGCTTACCTCTGGCGGTCCGCCCAAGGGCCATAGCGTAGAAACCCGCCCCTCACAACAAAATCCACGCCCCACTCTGGCGGAAGGTCACCATTCCCAATGTCAAAAGGATCTGAGCCCTCGGAGTTGGTAGGCGGTTGTAAGGGTTCATATGGGACGACCCCGACTACATCAGCATAATACAGGATCTCAAGTATAGGTGCTTCGAGGATCTTGCGTTCGATCGCATACTCTAGCGTGGAAAAATCTATTCCGAGAGGAGTCTCGTCGTCCAAACTCTTTGGCATTTTACGCCAACTCCATGGTGTAGACGGATGTGTAACTGACACAGATGGATAACCGAAGAACTGGCGCAGATATCTGCCAAGTTTACCGAGTCGCGAGCGAGGCATTGCGGCAGCCCATAACTCCAGACGATTCCAAAGTTTCTCAAATGAGTCAAAGGAGACATAAGTTGATTGCCTCAGGGGTAGGCTGCGTGATTCCCTGATTTGTTCCTCGATTTTGACGCCGACAGTTCTCATTGTCTCCTGGTAGTCAGAGTTCTCAACATAATAGACGGAGGCATTGCGAAAGTTGAGATTGAGGAGTTGCTTATACAAGTCAAATTTTGATCTTGCCTATAAGTAAAGGACGCTACAGTTACTCTCCGCATCACTGGATGCCAACTCACTGAACAAACCTGTACGATGCCGTATGTCCCCTCGGCTTTACTATACTGGGCGACCAGAAGACTTGGTGTAGACGCATTTCCACAAATGATGGCGCCCTTGGTGACCTCAATCCCCATGGGAAGGAGATTCTTGGGATCGAAGTTGGGCGCCTGGAGCTTAATCCAGTTGACCGCACGTTTGATAAAGCTCGGCGATTTCTGATAGATGGAAGACACCAAAGATATGGTAGGGCCGGTAGTTGCTGCCGAAACCGATTATCCCCGAGCTCGTAAGCAAGATTTGCACAAGAACCACAAAATATTTGCACTCACCATCGGGCGCTGCAGACGTCTTACTGAATATCTTGCGAAGTGCATCTCTAGCATCCAAGTTAGGTGCAGCAGGTGTAGGGGCTGGAGTGGGGGGAAGATCGTCTCCCATCTGGGCTACAATATTGTCATACGCTGCAGTTCTGTTATATATGAACCATTCAAACCCCTGCAACGACATGTGGACTCGACATGACAGAGGAAGACGCTCCTTCTCTGGAGGACAAAGTGAATAAGTATATGGATGCATGTTCATACAGATGGCGTCATACGACTTAGATCTTCGCCTATTACTTGGGCATGACTGAGGTCCTCCTCCGCTGCGGGCCTGCGTATCCAATACCTCCAGCTTATCATACCCTTAACGACCTTGATGGTCTGGTTGCTAGAATGATATCGCAAATCCTTGAATAGGATGCGTCCCGTTAGGATCGAGAAATGTATAGAGCCTACGATCCAATAATTAACAGTAGACACCTGCAAACGTAGGAACATACCAATATCCACCCATATGCTAGACTCCGCCTGGTTCCAGAATGCAAGTCGGAAGACGAGCCCTAAAAGAAATGCTACGAAACGGTTCCAGAAGAACAAGTAAAGAACCAATGCGACAATGATGCATATCAGCGTCACAAGAAGTACAATGTTCAGCATGCTGTATAGCAAGTTGAAGATAGTCACTGGATCACGGTTACCGTCTGATTTTGACTAGGGCCGGTCTCAGTGTAGCGGCGGAGACATTCACGACCCAGACGAAGCACAGTAGTAGGAGCTGTCAATGTTGGAGGACAGGGTAGTAAGCTAAAGTTTACGACAAAGGAAGCCAGACAGCCTCAGAATTGCGCCTTCTTGCACTATATTTCGAATTGGCTGAGGAGACTTGGCTGGAAAACTTGAGGAGAACCTGAGGGAGTCGGCTTCAAGTCGCGAGCCGAGTAACGCGAATGAAATCACATGACCGCACTCACACCAATTGCGAGACCCCGGGACCCGACTCCCGAGGACTTGAAGCTTGACTAGTGACTAGCTGACTCTTTGCCTCCGAATCCACCTTTCAAGCATGCAGCCGCAGTCATTGACCAGCCTCACACCCTTGCGTCGACTAGCTCTACATTCGACTAGCACTTGTTCGGTGCAGGCTTCGGCTTACGGCAAGTGCATATTGGCAACTTATACGGATATCAAGCAAGATGCTTGCAAGGAAGAGTTTTCTAGGTTTGGGGCATGTCTACGGGAAGCAGTGCGTCGTTAGAGTGCCATGCTTGTCGTGTTTAGTTGAAGAACGCGTTGAACGCGTATAGATGAGACGCAAATGATATTGCGCTTACTACCCCAATTGGGATGATAGCTTCTCGAAGAATCAGGTCAGTGTACATTAAAATTGAGTTGAAGAAAGCGTGTCAGCTTATGGTATTGTACTCCAGGACTCAGCGCAGATATATAAGTATAGTAATTACGCGTCCGACTCAGACTCCAATGCACCCGGTATATCCTGCCTGTCCCCCGTGCCATCCTCCGCCGTCTGTACCGGTTCTGTGCCCGTTTCCGTAGCTCGAGCGCGTGTGACGAGCTGCTGCCTGGCCCGTAGTATGACTTGCAAGCTTCTCGAGATTCTCCAAGGCGCCGTTGTATTTGGAAGGGGTAACAATTCATTCAGTGCAGACTCGCGTGTGGGAGGGGGTGTAGGAGGATGCCTTAGACGATTCCATAAGATGGATGGTCGAAGGTCAATGATGTATTGTGACCCGAGATGTATGGGCTCGGGGCCCTTGACCATCGAATCTGTGGATGTGGCCAGCAGTGGGGATATTGGTGTAGCGGGGAGCGGAAGAAGGGGGTCGGGGGTGTCTGGTGGCACGGCAGCTGAGAGAGACGTCTCAAATGCAATCGTAGTGAGCAGCATGTTGAGGAATATGATGGTGAAGTCGAGCGATACAAGTTGCAACCTCGATGGCGCATGTGCTGATCGTGTGATTGCGGCACAAGCGGGAATATATCAATCAAACGATATATACAATATGATAGAGCGCACCCATTCCGATGAAGTCGAGGATAATGGACCTTCCCTGCGCCGCGCCTTCCTGCGTGTGTGACCACAGCGCACCGACATTGAAGAGCACGACGAGGCCGAACCAGAAGCGCAGGGAACGACCGGAGTCAATGTTGCGGGGCCTGGCGAAGTGAAATTGGGATATGACTCTGCAAAGGTAGATCCATATAGAGGGGGAAAGGAGGAAGGAGAGGGCGTGCAACTGGTACAGGAGGGACTCCAGCTGCGAGTGAGAGGTGAGAGTGTGGATGAGTTGGCAGAAGGCAGACATACGGAAGATATGATATGCTTTCGTTGGCCGTCATGCTTATGCATGTCATCTATGTCCGTCTTATCTCGAGGATTGCTGGCGGAGCGCGGACGACGGCCGAGGACGCTCACAGCGGCGAGAATAGCAAGAAGCAGAGACGGGTGCGCCTGCGCCTAAGCTTGCAGCGGTCGTTTGGTGGTGCTTGAGCCGTGGCCGGGGTCCCAGACGCGTCGCGTCTCGCGTGGATCGAGGCTCGCGACAACGCCGTCCACAACCTCCTCGACGATGACCAGGAAACGCGCTGCCCCAGCACGGCCGACGGTCAACCCTCGTCCTTTCGCCCGTGGCTCGCTCCCCGATCTTTTTGCTCGACAGTCTTCCCAGTCTGCCCCGCCTTCGTCCCCGCCGGGCTCAGACCCCCTTGGCCGAGCGTCAAGGTCGGGGAGTAATAAGACCATGGGCAATGCCCCTGTTTCAAACAGGCGGAAGAAAGTCGACGCTCCTCCGCGCTCTGATCAGGAGGTTATTGTCATTCAAAGCTCTTCTGAAGCCACTCACATCACTATCTCCTCCGATAATCCCTCACACATATCTATATCTAGTGACTCCGTGGCTCCTGTTCCACAAAAATTTCGGCCCACTGCTACCTATCCCTCAAAAATCGCGCCTAGCGCTGTCGTGCCTGCGACTTCGCCGCCAGCTGCAAGCATCTCCACCGAGACATCGCTTTTGCCTTCTACTTCTCAATTACGGTCGGACCTGTCCCTGGAGCGCGCTCGCCGTCGTTCTCCTTATAAACTGAAGTCGCCTCGGAAGCGAATACTAGAGTCTGACAGTGACAACGGGCACACACTGGGCGAATTTCGTGTTCCGAGGGTACCTCCGTCCTCAAAAGGGATTTCCCCTCTAGACCCGAATTCGTCGCCGTTGCGCAGACCCTGTAGTAAATTATCCACATCAAAGGAATGCGCACTCCCGTCTCCCAGCGACAGCGGTAAAGGTAAAGAGCTTGCTTCTCCCAAACGTGCACGTCTTTCTCCTCCCTATGACCTCGATCCTAACCCGCTGAGCTCCGGCCATGAAGCGGATGTAGAAGAACTTATCCCAAGCAGCCAGTCGGACGAACAGGAATTGTCTCTTCCTGTCGTGGTCAAGAAGAAAAATCCTGCAGAAATCAAGGACTCTGTAGAGAGGTGGAGGAAACAAGCCATGATTCACCCTTCAAGTCAACAATGTTCCCCTGAATCACTCGGCACAGATTTGGACCCACTTGACCACGATGTTCGACATCATGGAGATGGTGCTGCTATGGATGTTAACATTCCACTGGGACCTCCATGTTTTCCAGGCAGCGCATACCCCAGTCTACATATAACAGCGGGCGAAATACCCAATGTACCTCATTCTGAAACTGAGGTCAGTTTGCAGTTAGGCGAGTGTAGTTCTGTGTCAACGTTGTCATCACGGCGCATAGATCCTACAACATCTGTTGCTTCTTCCGTTGTCGTCTCCGCTCGGAATACACCTAAGGAAACTCGTTCAGAGTTTTTTCATTCGCCTACCGAGCTTCGTCAAATCACGCCTCCGATGTCGAGTGACTCTCCTCTTCCCGTGACTCCGAAAATTCTAGACCCTGAGACGAAAACGGCGAAGATTATAGCAGACATCAAGGCCAAAGTTCTTGCTGCGGCGCGTTCGAGTCCTGAAGAAGAACCAGTTGATCTGAAAGAAATTGAGGACAGCAGCGATGACTCGGATTTAGAGTCGATGGATAAACTCTTTGTACTTGTCAAAGGTAAAGGGAAAGCGTGCGTAGAGCGATAGTCCTTTATCAAAGCCCCGACTGACTTTGTGATACTACAGTGTGGATCAATCTCCCCTCAGAAAAGTTGGATCGGTCAGCTCGCCGCTTGCTAACTTAGATAGCTCCCGGGCATCGAAGAAGGGTTCTCCACGGTACAATATGCGTCGGCGCTCACCGTCCAAGCACAATACCATGACTGAGGAGAAATTGCCTGCGCTATTTAGCCTTCATACTTCATCCACACATAGAGTATCTAGGAAAAACGATCCTTTGGACGCGCTGCTTAGGGAGAAGCGGCTTGCGGACAAGCGCGGTAATGGTGTAAACGCCCTTCGCATCGCTGAAGCTACCGTCGCGTCCTCATCGAAAGAGAAGGAAAAGATGGTGTTAGACTTTGATGACGATAATCCTTCGGATGTGGATCCTGCATGGGCGGACGAGCGTGCCGCCATGGAGGTTGTTCGACAAGGGGCGCAAGGTCTCAAACTGAAGTCCTCCAGTCCACAACCTATGACAGATACCGACATTGACGGGAGCGACAGTGAGGAGACTGACGAACTGGATGAGAAGGATTATGAGAAGATGCTTGGTGAAAAGGGAGGAGAGAAGTTCGCCCCTATTTTGGTCAAAGATCGCAAGAACAGAATTGCGAAAGGAAAAAAAAGGCGGATACCGCGGCTCCTGGGAATGCCATTTTGGGAGGTTTCTGGGGAAGAGCAGCATGGCGAAGCTATGCAGGTCGACAGCCTCCCATCCCTCCCTCTAGACCAAAGCAAAGTCAATGGACATCCATTACTTGACGTTTTGTACAACATCGTAGTCGCGGGTGGTGCGTACGCCTTGAAGCCTTGTGCTTGTCTGCCGTGCTTATATATACTCAGACAAAACCAGGTTGACTTCCTTATTGAAGTCGAAATTCCTTGCATGTTTAGAACCCCAGCACTTCTGCGCACTGCTGCCCTGGCTGTTTGAAATAGGCAAGTACCTTTTTGAGAGGAGATCATGTCGAAATTTAACATCATTTGTTTTGCTATTATCAAAGCTATGTGCCCTGAAGAACCCTTCAGCGGACCCGCCTACCAGCTGGTACTGTTTTGGTGTGACTGCACGACCTTCGAGGAAACTTCAGTGAGACTTTTCGATCCCATGATCCCCAATATCCTCGCTAGTCTAGGAAGTCAAGCTGCGGTCCTGGAAGCTGCAGGCTGGACGGTGCGGATGACTGGAAAACGAATATATGAGCCTGTTGAGAGAAAAGTCGCCGTCGATCGCCTCGTATCTCTGGTCAGCAAATTGGCACGGTGAGCTGCAGTCCATGATTTATTTTTGTTTCGTACTGACATTGTTTCCTCAGGTGTGGTGTAGTATCTCTTCACGATGCACCCGACTTCATGCTCTCAATGTTCTTCATTGCTCTGGATCGATCAACCTCTGCCGAATTGAGGTCACACATCATTGTTGCCATCGAATTGCTTGGGCAGACGCTGTCGGGTAGTGGCGACGGTCCTATTGACATAGTAAGTCTCAGGAATCAGGCATCGGTTATCGCACCCTTTTTAAACAAATCTCGCTTCTCTTGCAGGAGGTTTCTGTGTGCTCTAAAATCTTACAATTTGCGAAAGACTTGAGCCCTCTCAATCGTGCATATCTTTTGTCTTTGATGCCTGGTGGATGTCCATCCACCGGCCGTATCGTACGGTGGCTTGCGAACTGCTTACTCCTCAACACCGATATGCCCTCTCCGGTAAGTGCTAGTGGCAGGGAGTTCTGAGAGATGTATGGGAACTTAGATTGTTATATCTTCAGGCCTCGTATAAGTCGTTGCCTCCGCTCTCACCTATCGTCGACTTGCTATCACCACCAACTGGCTCCGGTGATCTCTTTGATATTATAGGCAACTTGGAGACGGTTAACTACTACGACGATCTTGTCTGCCATATCGACATACTTAGCAAAGTCTTAAATGACGTCGAAGCGTATGTGGCGCTGGAGAACGGCATTCGCTTAGAAGCTGCTTCGACCGAGGTTGCTGAGTCAGAAAGTACCTCTCCCCAGAAGGGCTCGAGCTCGAGGGAAGCGCCTCCTACACGGCTAGAACAGATCAAGGCTGTGCTTGATGGATTGCATGGCAAGATTGGTACGCTACCTTACTCAATGTTTTAACCAACGTTCGTCGCCTAATTTTTCTGCATTCAGTGGACACCCGGGCTGCTCACCTGGACCGCTCACGCGCGAAGGCGGCCTTACAGCGGTTGTCCTTCCGTTTGTATTATCAGAGAACAGCTAGCCTCCGCTCAGGCAAGCCTCGAAATCTACACGGTTATTTCGGACAGTCGAGAAAGTAAACAGCAGCAGCCAAGACCGCAGATGACGTGCTTTTTAGTGGCGGTATTCTACATTCACTTGGATACGGACATAGTATTCACATAACTTAGTAGTTCGCATGATGCTACTGCATCTCGTTATATACCATTTACGATATATTTGTTAAGCACAACAGCACACATACTTTCAGCCACAGACGACAGGAACTGTATCGTTATTTAATACATCTCCCTTTTTTTATACGACTATGACCCAGTCTTCAAAAGAACTGAAGGTTCACCGAACGTCGCGTCTGTCTTTCTTTTCTTGCTTCTGACCAGTCCCGCCTCGCTCTCCTGGTCAGATTCATTGAGGTCCAGTTCAATATCCCACACTGGACTGGGCGGCCGTTTTCTACTCCCTGGACTCAGTAAAGATTGTAGAGCATTATGGTGTTCAATTGCAGGTCCTGCCTCTACATCGGGAGACGAATGGTCATTGAGGTCAAGCCCGATGTCCCATAAGGGGCTCGGATCCCTAGCTCGTCGTGAAACGACAACGGCAGGCTCGGTCGATGTTACATCCGGCTGCTGTTGTTTTCCTTTCCCTTTGTCGCTGTTTGCTCCAGCCTGGCGCTGCGAAGACAAGGTGCTTGTTGCGCTATTCCGGAAGGGCTTCTCGAACGCATCTACAATTCTTCTAGCTTTGACTTGTCCAAAACCTGGCATTTTTTGTAGCTGGTCAGACGATGCCCTTGCAATGTCAGCAAAACTCTGCCGCGCAGATAGTTCAGAGTAGAGTACGGAATTAAAGGGTATAATACCCACGCCTAATGATGTTCGCAAAGTTTCTACGTCAGTTTTGTTGACCTTGCTGATGGAAGTCAGGGCAGTTCGTAGCATCGAATAGTAATCTTTGTCTACACGTTCCTTGATCATGTCTGGCGGCTTGTGTTCGAACTGCTTGTATGTGGATAGGTAGAAACCAGCTTCTTCGGCACTGTAAGTGACCAATAGTTGGGATCAACGTATGCATGAGAACGAGGCAACATACTTCCAAGCCACCATGATCGTCATGTTGTTGATGAGGCAAACCTAAGCATCTACATCTGTAAATATATCTCTAGAGAGGGCTGTCACACAAACCTTGGTGAGCTCCCTGATAGGCTCCTGGTGTTCACTCTGCAACTATCAATATGCATAGTGATCTAATTAACACCACTCACCACATCACACATGAGCAAAAGAATTCGGAGGTTGTACGAACGCCCCAATCGCTCAATGCGCTGATGGATGTATTCTGGATGCAACCGATGATATCGTAAACTGTCACCAGAAATGAGATACGAATGGGCGTAGACTCGAAGACCGACGACTCACCTCAAGAACAACACACCCGTCGTCCTTCCAACCTGATAATCCGCAACAATATCGCCGAACTCCTTCCCTATATTCCTGACGGATTCCAATATCGGATTGCCGCGCTATACGCGTTCAACACCTCCTGATATCGGAGCAAGCGAGAAGGAATCTACCTGACAAGAATTTACGATGATGCTATTTCCCAGACTGGGCTGAACAACGGGTGGTTTGGATGCATTTGCTGTCGACAAACTTGACCGACCCGAGACTGCCTCGCCGGAGGTGGAGGCTGTAGTAGACATTGTACGCAGTGAGCGCCCGCGCGCCACTTAGAGCCTGAGGCCTGAGGCCTTGAGGTCTGAGACCCGAGATTTTAGCTATCGAGCACTGCAGCTGTCATGCCCGCTGGAAACTGCGAGCGCATGCACCCCAGTTACAAATGCAAATTGAATGTTACTCCAAACTGAAGGAGCAATTGTGGCTACTGGCAGAGTCACCACGAATGCAATAATAATGCCCCCAAAATGCTTGGTATCTCATACTGTACGGCGTTGCGGTATATATCAGAATAAATCAACTAGTCCCCTTCTTGGGGAAATTACAGCAGTGACTTTCCCTTCAAACCCAAGTAGATCCCCCCCGGTCGTCGCTACGAGGTCCTCCTCACCAGGAATAGTCTTGACGCCAAGCAGATCTTCGATGTTTGACGACGCAAGGGCGAAGGCATCTGCTTTGGTGAAGATATCTGGAGCCCCGATATACGCCTAGATCGGTGCATCGTTAGCATGGCCTAGCCGCATACATGAGCGTGCTGAACAAATGTCACATACCCATGTGGCGTCGAAGCGCAGGTTGCGTACGGCCCATGTGTTCATGGAGGAGATACCATTCACACCTTGCGGACCCAGGCCGACTTTAACCTTGTGCCTCGCCAGTTCTGCGACTGCACTATATTGGGTGACGGGTGTCCCGGGCAAGCTGTCAAGACGGTTAACATTTAGCATCCAGCATACATCAGGTGCAACGTACGTGCGCCTGTGATCCCAGTCGTACGGCTATAGGAAGACGTCGTTCCATTGGAAGCTTCGATTAGATGCAGGCATGGTTACGCATCAATTGGAAGACATACGTAGGATCTTGCAGGTGTTAAGATCACACCAATATTAGCTTCGCTGAGCTCCTTTGCGAGCAGGTGGGCTTCGGTAGCGCCCGCTATGGTCATCTTTAAAGCAGTGCCCGTACTTGCCTCCACTTCACGCTTGAGGCTGATCAAAGTCGCAATGATATCTGCACTGTTCACATCAATTACAAGCGGAAGTGTGCCCTACTCCAACTATATCAGCGGTGTGGCGAGAGCCCAATGGAGTGGACGCACATTGACAACTTGTTGAAAGTACTTCGCGCCTTCTCCGACAGAGTGCAGGAGATACTGTCTCAATGTTGCTATTTGTGTACTGACACTTGGAGCGCCCTGGTGCGCAACTTGAATGTGCAAAGCAGTCACCTCCTGTACGATAGCACCCCTCTCAAGTTTGTGTGCAGACCCCAGCGCGAACCCAGCACTAAGACCACCGAGGAGGGAGGTACGCTCAGGCGCAGTGACCCCGACAGTGACCCCATGCCTATAAGCCAGCCTGTCGATCACAATAGTTAAGTGTTTAATGTCCGCCCACCTGTAAAATGAGATAGGCCTACAGTGCATCCCGCGTTCCGTACTGTAATGCGTCGATTGCTCTGGGCATGTACCCAGATCCTCCAGCTATAGACGGTACCTCCATCGTGAATGGGTCATAAGACACGCCCTCAGTGGTCGAAGACTCCATGGAAATTTCTTGAAGGCCGAGCGCAGAACCAAAAGAGACCAAGCCAGGTTGCAAGGAGCCTCCCTTGAGGTCGATGGCCTCAGCCTCTGGGTGAGTGACATACGAAGCGCACAGCACCGAACTGCCGGAGCAGACGATCCTACCATTCTCGGCTACAACTACGGTACCCTGCAGGTTGTCATTGTTGCTCATAGCAAACAAATCGACAACACCCTGGGCTGCGTCTTTCACCCAGACGTGTGTGACGTTCGTAAACACGACGATATCACTCGTCGACTGTGCAGCCTTCAGAGGCGGAAGACCGCTATGCCTGAGCGTCTCCACAGCCTCCTTGTCGAAATTGGGCGTTTTGGGGGCATGTTGATACGAAGCAGGCTTCTTGACAGTATGCGGCACACTAATTTGAGGAATACCATCAATGATGACCTGACTAGGCGTGGCACCTAACGACAAAGGGTGGCTGTCCCAGACGACAACATCTAGTGAACAGATGGAGATGAGAAGCGGGATACACCAGAATCTATCCAGAATCTATCTGGAAAGAACGAACCTGCATCGTAGCCTGATCGGCTGTTTGATCAGTAGCAGATCGTCTTCTACAAAGCATCAACACTTGCCTTCCTTCAGGAATCCAATGCGATGATCCAAACCCAATACAGTCGCAGGTGTGCTAATAACCGACGCCAATGCAATGTTCTCCGGAAGGCCATAGTAATGAGCCTGAGCTGCCTCGTTCAACAGATACCTTGATACGATTCCAGGATGGTCGGACTTCAAGCCGGCATGAAAACGTCAGAATCAAACATATCTTTTTTTTAAAAAATACCTACCTTCATAACCACTTGAATGTCACTGTCGGCGAGTATGCGAGGAGCATATTCAGAATGCCTGTAAGCCTCCCGCTTGTACCTGAATCGGATATTAGTCATGACCGATACAAATCATAACTCATTATTACCTCGAGAAAGCAGCGAACATAGCAATCGCAGGGGGATGATCTGTGGGTAACGTAAAGTAAGTACTGAAAGAGAAATACAATGGATATGAAAATACTACCATATGTTTTCTTCAATAATTCCGGAACGAGATAGGCTTCGTGAGCATGGTGGAATGCTGCAACAGGGAATTGAAACTCGTTGGACAACTATATAAAGACGTGAGATACGTTCAAATGCCATGTAGACACACGATGACATCCCACGTACTCGAACAAAGCTATCAAAATCGACTGCCTCATAGCAATGTGTTTGGACCTAGGATGAACTTTGTGAGTGTATTGCAAGGCTATATGGTGTGCATCGCGCACCTTGACTCTCCCCCTAAGAACATCGACTAATGCCTCCCACTGCAAGTCCTCCGGGAAAGTTCGGCCAGTGAGCGCTTGCCAGTTGCCGGCTAACGCATCCGAACAATACTCGTCCTGGGCGTGCTTGATCGTGCGAGCATGATCGTACCTAAAAACGTCGACCATCAGTGTGATGTCATTCATGGGCATGAAGGGCGAATAAGCACGCTTGACGGAAAGCCCAAGTTGTGTCCATGCGACTACCAGAATATACTCGAGCTAACGAGGAGTGGCGCAACAATTAGCCAATTTTGGAGTCGCCCCATTTCCGAGCGCCTTACCAGGGTTCTCTCCTAGTAAACATGTCGTAATGATTATAGTGTTATATTTCTGAAATCGACGGGTACATACCACAAGCGTGCCTGTCATTTTATTTCCGGTCAGTGGCTGTCCAAATGGTTCAAAAATCGGACACACTTAATATGCCTCCATCTCGGCCGCAGACTGGGATCCACAACAGAACCATTGATCGTGAACGGAGGCTCGAGCAGCATTGACGTCGGCGTACGATCTTTAGTGGGTCTGAGTTTGATTACGAATGCCTGCCCACCTGCACTGGGTATGTCTAGCATGCTCGTATATGACGAGTCAATGGAGGAACGAACCGATAGCATCAGCGGAGCCGGGGAGAATCAATGACGTGGTGACCCCACCGGACACCGTGTCCGCGAACCCTAGGGATATTCAGCCTACTCACCATCGAACGGTGCGGTGTGGGGACAGACCGTCATCGTGTGTATTAATAGCATCGAGAGAGCGGAGCCAGGGCAGAATGAGTCCGTTCATAGAGTTGACATCGGAGCTTCCGCTAAAAGTAGGCGACGGGTCGACGGCGAGATGAGAGTGTAGATCGACAATGCTGCACAGGATGCGTCAAGATAATCCTAGAACGAGAAAGTTCGAATGTGTTTGCATACCCAGGCGTAACCCATGCCCTAGTGAACGTGGTGCAATGTCATTAAAGGTAGATAGGATCTGACGCGTAACATACCCATGGACATCCAAAACGTAGACGTTGTCAGCATCGATGGACTCGTGAGTGACATAGCCCACGGCTTTTATGAGACCGTTGTCGATATAGAGATCGCCTTGAACGACTTCGAGACCCTGCACGCGACCGGTCCAGAGGGAAGCGTTGCGGATGAGGATCGGACGCGTCCCCGGCTGGAATCTGTCCGATTTGGTACGGTCAGCGAAGTCAGCGGGAGGTCCAGGCGTGGCCCGGAGCGCCTTGCACTTATGAATGATGTCTGCGGCGTGGAGAGGAACCGCCGATGGATGAGTCTCCGAGAGGATGGAAGACCGAATGCCGGTCGAAATGGACGCTAGCGACCAGAGGATGAGCAGGACAGCTGTAGCAAACCGGACTCTCTGGGGCAGAGAACGACGTGCATACGCCTGCTCCATGCTCGGCGATGTGGAAGTTATCGAGGCCCGTGCAGAACGCGATGGGACACGAGAGCGGAGGGGAAAATAATAGAAGGGCGTCGGTCGGTCAACGTCGGCGCCCGGGCTGCACTGAGTTAGCGCTCGCGACCCGGATTGGCTGCGCTATGTTTTCCGATATGGCTCTGGACCCGCATCAAGTCGAAGGAACATAGCGTCGCAATCGTATGGGCTTGCGGCAGACACGACCAGACAGTACAGGGGGACACGCCGTGCGGCACCGAGAAATCGAAGAGCACAAACGGCATGGAGAGAACAGCCTTCGACAAATATATTCTGGATAAGCACGGCGGCAGCTGTTGGGGCGTTCGCGGGCGATGATAGGGAGATGTGATGAACATGCTGCCAGGCTGGAGCCGCCAGCTGCGGAAGAGCGAGGAGAACGCGTGTGCCATAAGAGGGAGGACGCCGGGGACAGCCGAGAGGGAGGGGGCAGTGGACTCGGATAAAACCATCGCGCGTCCTGTTCAGCAACCTCGTCTCTCCTCTCCTTGGTGTCGGTCATCCCCTAGACTTGCAATTGATCTCATGAGTCGTATATGAACACCCCTCTCAGCCCCTAGCCTCCTCCTTCCGTCCTTGACAATCTTCCTCTCTCATCCGCACTGCCGGCAACAACAACATCAACAACAACAATAGACTTTTAGGTAATTCACAAACCTTCTTTGTCTTCCTCTTCGGTCAATCTCACCGATGTACAGGGATTTAAGTAGTGAGATCAGCACCCTCCCCCCCCTCTCCTCATTGCTTCCAACTCGCCCTTCATGTTCTTCTCTGTCGCCCGGCTGCGACTTTCCCTCCTCCCCGCCCTCTTCCTCTTCTCTTCTTTCGTCCGTGCCAGCCAGGAAGTTCTCTGTGCGTCCTGCTTCCCCTCCACATCCCTGCTCGCTTACTGACTTGACTTCTCAGTCGCGTCTTCCGTTTCTTATTGTGCACCCCCGGAGGAGATTCTCATAGACCAGCTAGACCTTACTTACTTCAGAGCTAACAGTTCCATCTTTTTCAACGTTTCCGCTGCCAGCGTCGTGAGTTATATAACCCCTCTTCGTCACCAACGTTATTTTTAACCCATTTGCCGCAGCTCGCAGATGTCAACGTGACTGCCAACCTCTATCTCAATGTCTATGGCATGCAGCCACTTAATACCACCATAGACCTGTGCAAGCTCTTCAACGGCATCATCTGCCCTCTTCCCCAGTACAACTTCACTGGTACTGACACTCTCACTATTCCCCCCAATTCTATCACAAACTCTATCCCCGGAATTGCATATGTTATCCCTGACTTGGAGGCATATGCCCAGCTCACTCTCATCGAAGTTGATACCAACCAAGTCAAAGCTTGTGTCCAGATCACCCTCTCCAACGGCTGGTCCATGCGCCAATACGCTGTCGAATGGACAACAGCGGCTA